GGAAACACTTGATAAAACATCAGTGTGTCATGCCATCCATGACTAACTGAAACTCAGTGATTAAGACCCTTTTGAGTACATGTTGAAAGGCCGTTTACCCATCAATTGGATGTTTCCAGGTGTGCGTTACTGGTTATTTACATGAGAAAGGTGAGTTTTAGCTACACAAGAGTTGATCTTAGACTCTTCTGATCCATAATTAGATGCATTGTGACAACAGCGTTACATGGAGCAAGCTGTGGCAGTAGCTTGGTTCTTAGAGCATTTCATGGAAATAATTATGGACCTTCACTCTGTAAACAAATGTGGAGAATGCTGGTTAAATGACTGGTTTAATTGTAACCTATGGGGCTGGACAGCAATTGTTTCATTTCCTTAAAGGAGCTATATGTAAGAAATATAAAGCAAATAGTCATAAAATCCTTCTAATATGTCACAGAGACTAAGGAATAATGTTCATATAACATACTGATCTCACTGACAACAATAGTACAGCCAGAATATTCGCATTTAAAAAAAAAATTTACGGTCCGCAAATCATGTTTATGTTTTGAATTTGTGTTTTGGCCTGTTGCGCCACCCACCGCTGTCTACCAGTCATGCAGTCAGTAGAGTCTCAGCATCAGTTAAAGTTACGACTGAGCTACAGCAGCACGGCAAGCAGCATTAGCAGTGTTCCGGTACATAGCATTAGCAGCCGGCTCCTCATGAGCTGTATCCCGGCAGCAGCGTTAGCAGCAGAGAAGCCAGACTTGCTCAAAGGGTCCGCTGGAAAACCAACGATCAAAGACGCGGCGACGCGGCCCTGCCACGGCAGCCGCCTGTGGGCAAACAAATCAGTCTCCAGCGTGCCGCTGTCCAGCAACCTCGAATCTGTAGGGGGGCGGACACGACTCGCAGCAGTATTTTGAATTTGAGTGCAGTAACTGTTTTGGCCACATTCTTACATACATCGCCTTTAAATTTATTTCGTGATATGTTCATACATTTTTAACTCTGTTTTAGTTTGTATTTGAATTGCTTTTTCTTTTAAGTGCTGTTCTGTATAAAAAGTTTGATTTTGATCTCTAAAGAGTAAACCAAAGTTGAGATGTGGCAATCAATTGTATGACAATATAATGGTTGAAGTAATTTCAGTGCCTCTCTGTTCTGTCTGTGAATACATAGGAGGCAGTGACCCTGCTGTCAGGACGGACACGCATGCCACCAGGATCCAGTGTGACTCTGGCTCGGGCCACTTTGCTGCTTAGTGACCTGAGAGGAGTGCAGAGCACCACACTTCTCAAACTGACACAGAAATTACTGATAAAGCAGGTGCACAAACACACAAACATGTGCATCCACACACACAGATATACTTGTTCTAATCAGTATGTAAGAAATAGGCAAAGCTAAGAGCTCTTTCTCCATTTCTTTCAGCTGTGTGTTTTTGGTCAGAGTGTGGTGGTGGATGATGGAAAAATCAGTTTCTCTCCTCCTGGACCCAACAACATCTACCTTCCTCACCTGAACTTACTGGATCTGACCACTGGTAGCTTAAACTCTAAGATCTTAGGTGATATTTTAATTTAGTTTGCACTGTAAGTAAGGTGATCAAAAGGACAAAATAGCAGCATGTGATTAACACAATTCTTTTTTTTAAAAGTGTTCTGCTTTAACTTTATTAGCATTGCAATAAACATGTTAACACTAACAGCCCTCCTTATTATGATATTAACATGTTGATATTTAACAGGTAATTTTTACCATGTTCACCATTCATGCTTAGCATGCAAACAATTGCTACTTAGCACTTAATACAAAAGGCCACTTAACACCACAGTCATCTGGATTCATATAATAACATGGCAATCCGTCCAGTAGTTGTTGAGATATTTCAGTCAGGACCAAATTGATGGACTGACCAGCCAACATTGACATCCATTGAGCCATGCCACTAAAAACACAACACAATCAACATGGTCTGATAGTTAAAATCTTAAAAATTCTCTCCTAATTGACTCCATCCCAAAGGTATGGAACATGGACTCCAGCCTCATGATTTAAATCAGTGATTTTACACTAAATACATCAAGGACAATCGTGATGTCCAAATAACAATTATTTCATGACTGATTAACCTTATGATTAAGTGAGCAATTGTTTGGCCTATAATATGTCAGAAACTTGTGACAAGTGCCTGTCACATTTCCCAGAGCCCAGGTCTTCAAATGTCAAGTTCTATCTGACAAACAGTCCAACACCCAAAGATATTCAGTTTACTAACATAGAAGACCAAGAAACCCAGCGCATATTCACATTTAAGCAACTGGAACTTTAATGAATAATCAGTTATCAGAGTTGTTGCTGGCTAATTTTCTACCATTTGATGATTCCAATAACTGTAATAATTGTTTCATCTCTACAGTTTTGTTAGGAAAGCAAAAATATTTTTAGTGCATATATTTAACACCCAGTTACTCTTAGATTACTCTATCTTGCACTGCTTCCACAGGTCACACCTCTGCCTCTGCTCAGTCATCACAATCTACATCCAGGAAAGGTTCACACCAGTCTGGCCAGATTGAGAGAGACTCTCAATGACCAGGTCCGAGGTCTGAAAAACGCAAGCACCACCAGCCCTGCAAGCCACCCATGCTCAGCCAGATAGCCAAAGTAGAATTATACACATATTGTGTTGCAGTTTGCACAGCTCTGTCTCAGTCCTGTCCTTATTGAAAGACATAGCTGAATGCTTAAGTTGGTAGAGGTCCACATGCATGGTCTGTGATTTTGTTCCTGGGGTTTTTGTTTTGTTAAAAACAACAAGACTGTTGTGTATAACCTGGTGTAACGACACATTAAGAACTGAAGCACTGCATTTGTTGACATGCTATGTACAACAGATATGTGTAATTTTGCAGGATTAAATAAATACTAAAAATAAATGGACCTGGTTACTCTAGTTTAATGGGCTGAACAATGTTGTTGTTGCTGAATGTATGTTGTGAAATGGATTAAGACAGTTACAGTGAGTTTTCATTGTCCAGGGTTTAAAATGATATGTTGATTCTGTATACATGTGTGCAGTTTTTTTATATTAATATTTTTCATTCTCTCGTCACACAGCATGTTTACCTGCAAGTTGGCAGTAAACGGAGTCAAAGGGAGAATAGGAATTGGGAATAAACAACTCTGCAGATACCTGTTGAACTGCAGGGCAAATTCAACTTGCCCTTAAAACAGCATATATGGAAACTAGGACCTCTGTAATATGTACACATTTGGGCCAAAAAACACTGATGAGCCACAACATTAAAAAATCCCAACTACATGATAAACTGTGAAGAAACATCTCCGTTAATACAGATCATTAAGGAAGGAGCAAATCGCATTTGATGGATTTAAAGTGCAGGATGGGAGTCAAACAACTCTGACAAGACAAACACAAAGTTAGTGATGAAAATGTAGGATATGTTAATATACCCACAGTGATCCAAACTAGTGAATGTATTGTGATTTTAGTCAAGTTTAGGTGCCCGGCATTATCCTGTCAGATAAGGAATCCTTTGTCTGAAACTGTCTATATGGGCTACATCATGTTATTAAGAGTAAGGCACTTAACGTGTTTATGGGTAAGATCAAAAGGTCAGTTTAAATTGTGTTACTAGATGCTGTCTAGTATTTCACTTGTGTGTACAGGCATCATGATGCAAACAAACCATTCACAGTACAAGAAAACATAACAAAAGTGGGTTTAGCTGCCATCTAGTGTTCATACTTGTATCAAAGATCTGTGAAACAAATTCCAGGTTACGTAACTTGGGTGGTGGAGCTGAATATTTGTTCACATATTTGATTGTACCTGAAGCCTAAAATGCTTCCTTCTTGATGACATAAAATTAGAAGGTTATAAGAACCAAATATATAGGAATGGTGGCTTCTCACTAATATATTTAGACTACCTTTATAATGACAAAAACCTAAAACCATAATTGTGTGACAGGCTTAACTAAGGGATGGTTCGTTACTTATGAGAAGGGAGGGGGTGGTGCAAAAAGTGGAAGGCATTTCAAATATTTTTTTAAGCACTGGTTTGGGAATTTTGACTTAGGGGAGAGGCATCCAATTGTAAATGGCTGTATTTTAGATTATTCTACTATTTTAAAAATGACGCTATTTCTCATAGCCAGAAACTGTACTAACAGAAATTAATGTTGGATTTTCACATTTCTGACAGTCCTTGAACACATTATGTGGGGGCAAATGCTTCCCTTAAAAAAAAAAAAAAAAACTAAACAAAACTAAGTTTAAATAGTGATATTTGATCAAATCACTGTATTCTACAAGTATCATGTAATGTTTTTGCCTAAAAAACCGTTTGCAAAAATAACCAGGATGAACAACAACAGTGAAAAAATGAGTCTTTTTTCAAACTCCAGGATTTTGCCTTCAGACATCAAAGGGTAAGTTTTAAAAATTGAATAAGTAATTTATTGTGGAGGGAGGGTCATGCATTTTCCTCAAGTCACTCAGAGAGGCTCAAGGTAAAATATTTGGCGCTTTGGGGAGGGACAAAAAAAAAAAAAAGTCAGCCACCCCAGCCACCCCCATCCTCTGACAAGAAGAACAGTCCCTAAGATAAGTAAAGTGTAACTTTGCAGCTCTTTAATAGAGAATCGAGTTTGAACCAACAGCTTTGGATAAATGTCCTCTTTTTAAATTACATTTTACTTTGATTAGGTTTTTATTTTTACTTGTATTCAGCATGACTGTATTAGCGGGGTCCCAGGCTATGTGTTTGTGCTAAAAAAATCCAAAATTAAACATAGTCACACCCCAGCCACTCCCCTCCTCTGATAAGTAAAGAACAGTCCCTAACATTGTTTTTAGACAAGCTGATCTGAACGCATAGTGCATATTCCGGAAGTGTTCATCAAGTGCACTTTTATTCTGAAGCCTGCAACCGGAAGTCACGTATGTCAGTGTTTCCCGGTAACTTGACCCGGTCTCCCAGCCAGAGTAACGGTAGCTGTCGCTTCCGATCCCTCAATTGTTTCGGTTTGTTGACGTTTGCTGGAGTCTTGCAGCAGCTAGTAACGGGGGTCTGCCCGTTGTTTCAGCCGAGTGGTGTCAGAGTCAATGAAGCTAGCTAGCTAAACGAGCTAACGTTAGCTTAAATGGGTTTTAGAGTCAAAAGATGATCGCCTCACTTTCTAGAGGAAGTTTGCTGGACGAGGTTCTTCATGGGGGCTTTAATGAGGTAACGGTTACCCACCGTCACTAACGTTCATGTGTATTATGTTAGGTTAGCTGTAATATAGCGAGCGGAAGCCAGTTGAATGTGCTAACCGTCTAACATTAACCAATAAACACACAATAAACTACTAACGTTAGAAGTTTAGGTAGAAATAACGAATTTGTGCAGTTTGCAGCTGAAAATGTTGACGTTAATGTGTAGTTGGGAAGAAAAGACTATTTAATTCAGTTAACGCTTTTAATCTTAGCTGACGTTAACGCCAGCAATTGTTTAATTGTTGTCAGGAGATAAATAGCTTCAGCATGAGACTTAAAAGTATTAAACAAACCAAACATCATAGCAAGTTGACCGTTAAGTGTTTTATCTCCGTTGTGTTAAATGGGGTGCGTTTTTCTATTGTATCCCGGACGACGGGCTGTCACGTGACTGACCAGGACCTGTAAAGGTGGTGTAACCGTGTGCAACACAGGGGAAGTATGATTAATCATGTTAGTGTACACTGAACATAAAATTATATGATTTACCATCACAACAAACATAAGCTTTAACAGGCAGTAGGACAATAGACTGACCCTGCCCCCTCTCTCCTGTCCCAATAAATAAACAAAGGAACTCATTTGTTATGCCGTGGTCTCAGCCTTTTTGGGCCCCCACTCTAAGCTGGGTGTTTTGTGCCTGTGTGTTCCTCTGTGGTTTATTGGATTTGTGTGTATCTGATTGATGGATTGCAGCAGCAGCTGGCAGCCTATGTTTCCTGGGTGAACTCTCAGCTGAAGAGGAAACCAGGCCTGAAGCCTATCACCAACCTCAGACATGATCTGCAGGATGGGGTGGTGCTCACACAGCTCATAGAGATAGTTGGTAAATACACAAATGCACTTTTACACACACAAATGACTCACATGGTGTAGCAATACTAGGGATAAAATAAGGAAACAGTTGTGGGTTCAGTTGGCATCACTGAATTTCCCCTTGGGGATGAATAAAATTATTCTTATTCTTATGAATTAGGTTATTTATGTGTGCATAGTTAAAACATTTTGTATTTGTCACCAGTATGTAATTGCACAACCAGTAAACCCTCATTTACATGCTTATTAATAATGTTTTAACTTTCAGTGAGGACTTTATTACATACTTTTCCTTCAAAACTACTTATTTAATTAAAAAAGAAAATGACTTTGTAGCTTAACAAAGTTGACAAAAAAATGATCTCAGGTGTGTGCGTGCACAACAAGATATTAAATTCCATGTTGAATATTATGACTCACATGGTGTAGTAATACTGAAGGAAGAATAAGGAAACAAATGTTGGTGCTAGGAGATTTGTTGATATAAATTAATTAGGTTATTTGTGTGTGCATAGTTGAAACATTTTGTATTTGTCACTAGTTTATAATTGCACACCCAGTAAACCCTTTTTTTAGATGCTTATTAATGATGTTTCAACTTTCAGTGAGGACTCTATAAGATGCTTTTCCCTCAAAATTACTTCTCTAATTAAAAAACAAAATGACCTTATAGCTTCACAGTTTTTTTTAAGATTTGGCAAAAAGTGATCTCAGGTGTGTGCATGCACAACAAGATGTCAGATTCCATCTTGGATATTATTTCTATTCAAAAATACACGTTAAAATATTTGCATACCCAGAATATTCATTAGCATAATGCAGGATACCAAAACTTGTGCCTTGATTGGTCACAGCATATTTGATTATTTTAAGTTGACAGTCTGTGGTAAGAATTATTGTAACAATTGCCTGAAAATAAAAGTGCGAACAACAGAGACACTATATTCATCTAATTCTGTGAACATAAAGAATGTTTCTTGTACTCTTGTTTAATGCAGTCATTTAGATTTAAGTATAAAGATTAGCATTAAATGCAATAATTTAAAGGCAGAAGGGTTTTTTTTGTTCTGCATTTTAACCCTTGCTGTTACCAATTATCCACCATAATCAGTACACATTTTAAAGAGAAATTTATTTTAAAATTATTCTGGTTGTTGATCACTCTCCTCAGTTTTTGATGCTTCATTATTGTGCAATGCAGTATTAGTTGATAATTCCACAAGAAATGTGTGTGGGTTTTCTTGGAGCAGGTTATATTGTTCCACCATTCTTGGTTAAAAAAACGAACGGATCAACTACAAACCAAAATTTGCCAGGTTTAAGATAAATGGTAGTGATGCCGACTACATCACATGTGCATGTACACATACTAGCTGACATCTGGGAAATTGCATAATAAATTACTGCTCTAAAAATGTTTAAGTGTAATATGGTTTCATTTATACATAAATTGTACTGTAGACATGCTCATATTTTGCTGATGGACATGCTGGACCTGTAGTTCCATGATTGATTGTTTTCCAATTCTCTCTTTCAAATTTCATTCATGTTGGCAGCTGGGGAAACGCTGGAAGGAGTGTATGTTGCTCCACAAAACAAAGAGGAAAGCAGGAAAAATGTGGAGCAAGTCTTGCAGTTCATTTCCTCCAGACACATACGCATGCCACACATATCTGCAAGAGGTAAATCTCAGAAACTTCTGTTTTCTCTCACTCTTTCTCTCTTAATTTCAAGAGGAAGTGGTCTCAACAATTTTCCGCTTATTATAAGTAGAAGATTTTATCAACCCCAAAGCTTAAAACACATAAAATTATTGTTTTTATGCAGTTTGCAGTGTGAAAAATACATATTTCTCTATGTGGACCAGGGAAACAATATTATGTGCTATCTTAAAAAGATTCTCATGTCAATTTTTCTGTCATAAAGCTGCTGTTATGTTCTCCCATATTAATACTGTGTATTGTAAATACTCTACATGTGTAGGGCATTACTGAGTGACATAATGTGTTCCCTTTCTGTCCGCAGACATTGTCGATGGTAATCTGAAATCGGTAATGAGGATAATTCTGGCACTGGCTGCCCATTTCAAACCCTCAGCCAATCACAGGGCGGCTTCTGGAAACAGGAGGAGTTTAACAAGAGGCTCTGCCAGCCACAACCCTCTCTCCACTGTTGCACTAGCCCAAGGTGCCGCTGCTGCACTAGCATCAGCACGACTGGATGCCTCGCAGCCGGAGCGCTCCATACGTATCCACAGGTAAGCTGGCAGCAATAACAAAAACCCCTGTCAGTGTCTTTCTGTCATATTCAAATGTTTTCTGCCACAGCAATCCTTTGATTGATGCACATGTAGTCTTTGCTGTCCTCTGGTGGACAAACACAGAAATATCATTCATCACTGGCTGAAACAACATATATGTTTATATATTAGTATAATATATTTGTTACAACTGATGCCATTCTTATTTATGAATAACTAATCTCTGCTTTGTTGGTCATCAGTGGCTGGGGGTTGGATGTGGATAAGGCTGTGTGTGTTCGTGCACTGGTTGAGCAGTATGAAAGAGGAGCCCCGGATGAGCCCGACTGCTCTCACTCCAACAGGTAATCAGCTAGTCTACAGTAAATTCACTTACTGCATGTCACCTTAACTGTGAGGTAAAACAGGGTATTAACGCACATAATCTGTTTTTTTTGTCTCTGTAAAAGGCAGATTTGAGATTTTCAATCAAGTGAACATAATATTTTCAGAGGAAAAGTAGATAACTAGCCCCATAGTGCTCTCAGATGGAACATAAAAAATTAGAAACCTGTTTAGTGCTGTGTTAGGCAGTGTAGTTAAGACCACCTGGACAGAGGCCAAGTTGTGACAAAGATCAGAGTGTGTCGGGACAGAGACAAGACCGAGACATTAGGGTTTGGGACCAAGTCAAGACCCAGGCCAGGGCAGGCATGACTGACAATAAAATGTGGAACATGCAAACCCTACACACAGCTCAAATTGATCTGAAAGATCCACATTCCAATGAAAACACTCACAGAAGGCAAATGAGGATTCATCCATCTCTTTCATTGCCATACTATACATGTGTGTGCATGTATATCATGAGAAATGTCTTGATAAAGTAATCAGAAGGTATTGCAGGGTTGAGTTTTGTGTCAGAGTTTTCCTTCTATGAGCAAACAAACACTGCAGAGCTGAAATCAACGTAACCATCTTTATTCAACACTTCAACATTTTTTGCACAGGCAGTGAAGTGATTTCTCCTCACATGTGGGCTCGGCTGGTCTTAAAATAAAATCTTGAGTCCCCTTTGTCCGAGATCGAGACAGGACTGAGTAAAACTGCGGTCCAAGACAAGGCGGAGGCATTCAAAAAGTGGTCTTTAGGCCGGTCTCGAGGCAAAGGTCAATCTCAAAGACAAGGATAAGGATGTATGATATCAAAAAGCATTTCTGTGACACCATGTTCATACTCTGTTCACTCAGTATATGTTGGATCATTTTTTGAGGTTGTGTCAGATAATGCAGTGCTGTGATGTTAGGCTAAAGAAATGATAAAACCTTCCTTGAAAGCATGTTGGCATCACTGGCCTAAATTTAGCAGGGAGGTTGCTGCAGTGTAGTTGCCTTAGGACAAGTGGTATAGCTATGTAATTAAAGTTGCTTTTTGTTCCAGTTTTTTCAACAAAAAATAGATTTTTGCTCAGTGTATTTTTACTTTAGACTGTGCAACTCAGTGTGTGAGAAAACAAACTCCACTTTGTGGCTTTTTATACTGCGATACTATGCAGTGCCAATTCAGTTCAACTTTTTTCGGGTAGTTAAATTTATGAGTTCTCTGTTATGTCTCATTGTTAACACCTACTTTGCCATACTTTGGAAACAGAAGACTTCATTCTGTGATTTATTTGAGTGTGTATGTGTGTGTGTGTGTCTCTGCCTGGGAAAGCATATGACTTCAAACTTCACTCTTCAGTGTGTGAGTGTGTGTGTAAGTCATAGACATCTGTGTAAACCACACGCAGATGTTAGAAAATAGAAACAACCAGTCTTTATCTTCTCCAGTCACATGTCTAGTTATGCTCTGTGGTGCTCTTTTAGACGATCATTTCTTGTGTGTGTGTGTGTTAGTGTGTGTGCACATGTGTGTATTTGTACCTGTTTCTAATGATAGAAGGAGAAGTGCATGATTATTTGTAGAGTGATGATGCAGTTTTGTTTGCAGGGACAGAGATTTAACAGAGCTTTAAAGAGCTGATACAGTATGTAGTTTAATGAAATGTGGTGTCTGCTGTGTTGGTTGCCATGACGGCTAGCTGGAGGGCGAGGGGCGGGGCATGCCAGAGTGAGGAGAATCATTAAGTGTCATGAGTTTGTTGAGATGCTGAATCCAGAGACGTAGGACTCAGGCTCTGTTAAAGTGATATGTAGAGTTAAGCCTACTTGTAGCCCACAATGGGGGGGACGCAGATTAAATGGTAAGACCAGACACTGTGAGGCAGTGTGGGTGTGGATCCCTGTGCACGTGTGTGTGAGTTTATGTCTCTTTTACCTGACAGTGCTACATTGTATTGTGAGAAGAGACTGTAATTGAAGAGTAGTGTCTGTATGCAGTGTTGAGTTTGTTAATGTTTTGATTTGCGAAGGCATGCAGGGATTAAGGGCTCCTCTTGGCAAGTTTGGATTTTAGAAAATATGTGTCAGTCTCATGGTGCCTGTTTCTGTCTTTCCCATTTTCCTCTCATCTCTTACAAGACATTATGAGTCAGAATTTCAGCAGAGCAAGCCTTAGTTGCAAAGAGCTGTCCAAGAGACACATTGTGTTTCCATTTCTAATATGTTACTTATGAAAACAGTGTGTCATTTTGATTTTGGTCGGTGTCTTTGTTTCCTGTCACTATTGAGAGCGCAGACAAGGCCTCAGTGGGACATGTAGTCAGAGTGACAGTTTTATTACTTACAAGTTAGTACAGATATATTACAACAAATTGTGTTGTCACAGAGCCAGGTTAAAGTAGTGTGTGGTAGCTTATAGTATACTGTATTTACACACTGTTTTCACACACCCTCATGCTTCTCTGGAATAAATCGATTGATCAGTATTTTGTCTTCCTCGAGCCTCAGCTCCGTCAGTCCGCTGTCATCTCCCAGAGCTCCACTCAGCAGCCACTCAGACAGACAGCAGGAGGACGGCCAACAGCAGGAGGAGGGTGGTGTTGGTGAGTTCTGTCCCACCACAAACTCTCACGTTGGAGTGGAGACAGCGTTGGAGGATTCTCTCAGTGAAACTTTGGAGAAGGAGGTGCAGGAGACACGTAAAATGGTGTCTGCTTTACAGGTACGTGTATGTTGAGGTCACAATCTGTGTTTTGTTTTTTGTTGACTTCCTTATTGAAATAAAAGTGCTGAGTGCATATTGTGTATTTTGTCATGTTTTGTTTGAAGATATTAGATGTAAAGCTGATAAAAAAACACCAATTTGGACATTAGGAATCACTGACTGACATAATTTCCCTCATGTTAGTATGCTTAGTAAACATGTCTTTAAAAGAGCTACATGATAAGCATCATAGAGACCATGGCTCAGTTCACCCCATAATCAAAAATGCATATTTTGCCAAGTGTTGCAATATCAGCCGTCAAGATGTCTGCCTTCTCTCAAATATAATGGAACTAGATGGTAAAAAATCCATCCATTCATCCATTTTCAATCACTTATCTGATGCTGGATCACGGGGGCAGCAGGCTGAGCAAAGTACTCCAGACGCCCCTCCCCAGCGTCGCTTTCCAGCTCCTCCTGGGGGACTCTGAGGCATTCCCAGGCCAGACAAGATATGTAATCCCTCCAGCGTGTTCTGGGTCTTCCGAGTTGGATGTACCCAGAACACCTCTAATGGGAGGTGCTTAGGAGGCGTCCTAATCAGGTGCCCGAACCACCTCAACTGACCCCTTTCGACGCAAAGGAGCAGCAGCTCTACTCCGAGCTCCCTCCACATGTCCCAGCTCCTTACCCTATCTCTAAGGCTGAGCCCAGACACCCTTCTGAGGAAACTCAATTCGGCCGCTTGTATCCGTGACCTCATTCTTTTGGTCACCACCCAGAGCTCGTGACCATAGGTGAGGGTTGGGATGTAGATGGACCAGTAACAGCAATGTCTCTTTCCAGAAATCATGACTCGATTACTGAAGGTAATCCACAGACCTTGTTGTGAGCAGTTTCACATAGGAACTATTTTCTTTCTACTGAGCTACAACCGCCAATTATATCACCACAGAGAAGGAGGCCAAGAGCCATCTAGTTCCATTATATTCAAGAGAAGGCAGACATCTCTACAGCTCGCACCAAAACAATCTAGAATTGATAAACAGCACTACAGGTAAGAAGAAAAATATGTATTTTTGATTTGGGGCTGAACTGAATCTTTAACTGGGCCAGAACACACTGTTTTTGGGTTATAGAAATCAGTGCAAGATCATGTCTGTGTTGCTCCACTGAAGACTCCTGCTGGTCGGTTGCAGCACCTGTGCAGAGGGGGTCGGGATACTTTGACATTTCTAATACAGTATTTTTAGGCTATGTGAGTGCTGTGTCTATTATTCATCAGACAACATACTGACTGCTGCTTTAACTGGCCCAAGCTCTCTGAACACAGCACTCTCACTCCAAAGTACGAACCGGTGTCACATGCTGTACCCTTTGTGTTTTTAAGGCCCTGCTGCTTCATGGTTCACTGCCTGAGGACGAGCAGGATGTGTCTTTGATTTTGGACCAAGGCAGTGCTGAACAGCAACTGGTACAGAGAGTCTTTCCTTTTATTTTTAGTTTATCATCCTTTCCCCCTTCTCTGCTCTTCTCTGTGCCACACTCTGCTGTGCTTTGTTTTACCCGCTCTTTGTATTCAGCACAGATCACATTTCTTTTTCTTTACTCTGTGTATGTGTGTGTGCGCGCGTGGTTATGTGTGTGTCAGAGGGTGACACGGGTATCAGTTTCCCTTCTTTCTCAGTCCATTGTGGCTCTCACACACATCCCTTTTTCGTCTCTCTTTCCAGGTGGTCATTCGCAGTCGTTTGGACCAGAGCATGGAGGAGGCTCAGGAGCTGAAGGTAAATTATTACATCATTTGTTTTCTTTTCTTTTTGTCAGGACAAATGTCAAATTTGAATTATTGCCGGGAGAATAAACTTCTGGAATGCATACTGTGATTAATATTTGATTCAGAGTGTGTCGTTTGCTGTTTGCTTTAGAGGGAACTGCTGCGCTGTAAGCAGGAGATGAGAAACCTGCAGGGAGTCAAGGTAAGACAAAGCCAGATCTGCAGTCAGTTATCTTATTACGTAGTTAGATAAATTTTTGGTTGTGTTGTAGAAGAGTTGGTATTGACTTTCTGCTGGTTTGTAAATGTGCAGGATGCCCAGCAGCAGAGGCTGTGCACGCAGGAGGCATCAATACTACAGATGAAGCAAGAACTTCTCAGAGCCAGCATGACGAAGGATGACCTCAACAACCAGAACGTATGAAATCTATTAATTAATTCAATTCAATCAATTCAAAGCAGTGCGTTAAAGTGGTTTGCAACAGTTTCCAGTCAATATTATGTGTTTTAAGTGTGTATTTCAAATTCCTCTCCTCTGTGAATGTTTTAGGCTGAGCTACAGTGGAAGCTGGAGGAATGCAACAGGCTGTGGGGTGAATGCAAGGTGAGGTACTCAGATCCTTCTCTTTTAATGGTTTTTCTGTAACTTTGTTTTATCGTCCTGATTTTATGTCTTACAGCATCTGCTTATTGAGTTTGGACTAACTAATGAGCCCCTCCTTTTCTCTTTGGTTGGCTGTGTGCAGAAGGAGATAGGACAGAAGGACAGACTGCTGCAGCAACTCAAACACAAGCTCGATGAAAGTCAGAAAAAGCAGGTATTGTTGTTTGCCAGTTTTGGGATTTTAAAATGATGTCTTATGTGAAATCTTATGACCAATTCAGTGCTATGTGGGAAAATCTCAGACCAGTGGTTATTCATTAACTTACTTTTAAAATGCCTGTCACGGTCTTGCTTTGCAATTTTTGCAATCTTTGCAATTTTTTAACTTTTTTTTTCCCAGCACATTAATGCAAAATATGCTTTGATGCCGGAGGAAAGCATAAACTAGTCCTAACAATCTATTAATCAAAAATATTACAAGTTTTAGGATCAAGCAGCTTTTTAACAATGCATGAATTGATGTGTCTTTGGCAGAGTGAACTGCAAAGAGAGTTGGAACATAAAAACAGCATGCAGGTATTACTCTTTGTTTACTGACTCTTTCTGCACTAACATCTCTACAAACAGTTGGTTTCGGGGTTCATATTCAGTCTGCACCAGTCAGTCATGAATTCAGATATACATTACACAGCTGACTGTTTTTTTTTCTTTTCTTTTCTTTTCTTTTCTTTTCTTTTCTTTTCTCAGATTCCCCCCGGCACAGAAAACAATGGATATTCTTACTCTGGAAATCCAGCCCCCTCTTTGTCAGATGTGAGTATTGTTTCTATTGATGAGGCTCCTCAGTCAGTGGGCATATTTACAGTATATCTTGCTAACAAAGCATCACTATACGCTTACATTCTCTTAAAGTAATTATATTACACACTATAATATGGCCACATGAAACACCAGAACCCCCACTCTAGCTATCATATATAGTAAGTCAAAGCAGTGCGTATGAGCTATGAATTACATTATAAAAAATGGACGTAGCTACTGTGACGTCACCCATTTGTTTGTGGACTCCTGTTCTGAAGCCTTAGTTTGATGTTTCGGCTGTTGCCATCTTGGTTTCTTTGGAGCCAGAAGTGACCGTATTTGAACAAGAGGGTGGAGCTGTGGAGGAGTGAGGGATGGATCTGACTGTAGCGACGCCTCATAGACAGCCTGTCACTCAAGCAGCCCTGCCCTTAAATATGTGTAACTTTAAGCCTCAATAAAATGTAAATGGGTGAGGTATATAAAAATTCACTGCCTGTACAGTTGTCATAAATGTTGAAATTAGCTAAAGAGACCAAAACAGTTTTTTATAACAACACGTTTATTTCTGCTGTAAAGTGGGCATTTTAACACGTAAGTCTATGGGGATTGACTCTGTTTTGGAGCCAGCTTCAAGTGGCCATTCAGTGCACTGCAGTTGTGGACACTAAACCAAACGGATGGCAACCTCTGAGGCTGAAAAATGAAGCCAGTGCAGAAGTGACAAAACAACTTGCGGGTGGAGCCAGAGAGAGAGAAACACTAACATATTCAGTGGGCTGCTTACTCACAGAATTATACCAGGAAGCTAGAAAACTCTTTTGGCTTATGCGCCTATTCATTGGAATGAATAGGTGCCATCTTTGGGTCCGGTATCTAGTATTAGTAAAATCCATGTGCCAAACTTGAAGCTTCAAAATGGCAGTCCACAAACCAAGTGATATTACAGAAGCTACATCCATTATTTATACAGTCTGTGTTTTAAACATACAGCTGTTTGTGTTTTTGTGTTTGTGCTCTGTTAGCAGGCAGAGGAGGTTCAGCTACTCAGAGATTCACTTCGGAGTTTGAGGAACAACTTCAGAGACCACGACCCGCAGCACCATACACTGGACACCCTGGAGCAGGGCATAGTATCACTCATCGACAGACTGCACGTTCTGCACACACACAGGGTACGAACAGAAACACAAACCACTGACTTATTGATTGATCAGCAGATAGCCACTTCAGAATCGGATTTGACTGTGGAATTAATTGATGAGGAAGCAGCAATGAAAGAGTGTGCTATAATGTTTATTTATTATCTAAAGTCTTATTAGCTAGGGTTACTTCGGGCAAAATGTAGAGCTTTTAAATCACGAAGGGCTGTTTATCCACACACTGCAGGGAAGAGGGAAATCTCCAAGACGCAAAGGCCAACACACAGACTCCGACACCTGGCCCTGCACAAGTAAGCTGTTCCAAAGTACATGTGCATTCATACACAGAATATTTATGCTTTTACTCACTGTGTTTATGTTGTCCATTACAGAGGTGTCTCAGTCCCACAGTGGCTCCTCATCTGCCTCAACTAAAATCCTCTATTTTACTGGAAAATCCCCAACACCTTCCATGATCAATATACCGAAAAGGTCAGTGTGTGTTTTCTGTCTGAAACATTTATGTCGCCCTTTTTTTTTTGCATTCTTCACTTAGAAAAAGTACATTTGGTAACAGACACATCCCAACACATACATTTAGGCTTGTAGATAGAAAATTAAATGAACAAATATATGATGTCACAAGTACTATCAGTTCGAGTGAGTCTCCTTATACACATCATACAGGCTCGGTGAGGTGACTCTTAAGGACGTTAAGGCAGCTGTGGATCGAGAGGGAAACTACAGGTACCACTTCAAGGCCCTGGACCCTGAGTTTGGCACTGTGAAAGAGGAGGTAAGAGAAAACTTGAAATATATAGATAATAGGCCACTAATAATAAACTTGTTGCACACAAGCAGGCCGGCCGTTCCAAAGTGGGAAATTTGGAAAATCTTTCTTTTTCCCTTGCCAAAATTTTGCTTAAACTTGGAGCATTATTTGGCCCCCTTTCTTACAAGATAGCATAACATGGTTGATACCAGTGGATGCCTTAGGTCCTGTAATTTAATAAGACACCCACATTGGGCACCTGACCCATGTTAGATGGACCGCACCATTTCACAATACGTGCGGGGGGGATCAGATGGATCGTTGAAATGTGTTTTAATGATAAAAATACATGTGTTTATCATGTAAATACATATAAATTGTATTGTCAGTTTTATAAGTCAGTGAGTAAATTGTTGTACTTTAATTAAAAGGTCAGCCATAGACCTTTTCATGGTCCCCCCTTGGCCTTGGGCCAGGGTCATCTGCACCTTTGACCCCCATGACGGCAGGCCTGCACACTAGTCAGAATGAAGTCTCTGTAAAACTGTTTACTTATAACAGAGTCCTCCCAACTTTTGTGCTACCTGCTTTGTGCCACACTCTAAAAGATGGAGGTCGTAATTTGTCTGTACAAAAGTACATTCTAACATTTGTATGACATGTAAATATAGTTAAAAGATAAGAGCAGAAGATGACATGTCTTTGCAGGTATTTCTGGATGGAGCAATTATTCCAGGCTGGGAAGGAAAAATAGTAGCATGGGTAGAAGAGGACCGTGGTGAAGAAAGGTAACATGCTCATTCTGTGTCTCCTTTTTTATTCTCCTGACTCGCAGTGGTAAACAGCATCTTATCCTTTGTGTCTTAGGCCGTTGTAGGTTCAAGCTGTGGGGCCATGACTTTCTGTTTTCTGCACGTGGTCACTCTGATCCCAGAGGCACATCGAGACAGCTGTTCAACAGAGGCACATGTGGACACTTTTTGAGATTCGACTTGTTAGCAAAATACTGTATGACCTGTCAGCAAGAGATTTGTGTTGATCAGCTGGTACTAAACAGCCCTGATAGCCCTTAGTCACTCTGGAAACAGCGTAGATCTGTAGCTGATGTCTAGGATGTCGTAAAGCTCAGTGCCTTACAAAGGAAAGCTCTTTCCATCATGTGCTTATTATCGCCAGGCTGTAACTGTATTATCACAACTGGACTCACAAGTAGACAAATATTATTTTGTTTTTAACTGTTTCTCAAACTGCAGTTGTGTTGTTGTTTCTCCTCTGGTTGAATGCAGAGGTTTGTACTGTATTTGAAAAAATTTACAAAGTCATTTTAGCCCCGTTTCCACCAAACACTTTTGGTATGGTAGGTTTGGAACTGAAAGTAACCCCTCAGACATGGTACCTAGACCCTAGCGTTTCCACCACAAACAATACTTCTAAATGTGGGCAGGGTTGTTGTCACTCACTGCTCTATCCAGCACTCTCTGTATTTCCTCATCACTGGTAACACAGATGGAAGTCTGCACCTCGTTTATTGTCCACAGAACGAGGCTGCACGCTGACATTTTTCAGAACAAAATAGAACAGGCTGCAGTGAGAGTCTCTCTCCATGGGATATTTAAAAATAGCAATTTTGTGCATTTAGTCCTTCTCAGGCAAGCACAGGGGTTTAGTGTTGCCTGAGCCCACAGGAATGATGCTCCGTGACGCTCCTTTTGTCAGAATGAGGATTAGAATATATGCCGTTCACATAACCCGTTCAAAATTAATTTATATCAACACTTGAAGATCCACTCATCTCTAAAAGTGTATGTCATATAAAAACTAAAGTGATGGTCAAAGTTGTTACAGTGAAATTTAAGGTGTGTTGATGGATTCATGTTGTCAAGTCATGCATTGAGTAACATTACAAGTTAAGGTTCCACCTTAAAAGTTGCCGGCAGTCAGCCCAGTGAATTAAGTTATTTTTTTCTCAGACTGCAGCTATTGCAAGAGGCAGCAAAACATCCTTTCATTTCTATAGTTAAATTTTACTAATAAAAACTCCACAGTATGAACAGTGGTTACATGAGCCTCAAAACCAGCCACAACTCAGAGTGACCAACTGCTACCAACCAATCAACAGACTGCAGTGTTCACAGCTCCACCTTTTGGTACCAGATCTGTGTGCTAGGTACCCCAACAGAGGGGGGACCAAAAATGGGGACGGTAAAGAACGGTTCCATTGGTACCATCCACAACTTTTCACAGTGGAAACAGGAAAAAAAAGTGTATCAAACTGAACTGTACTGTATCATACTATTCGATGGAAACGGGGCTTTTGAAGTGTTCAGTATTTCATTACTTGTGCAGCAATGAAATCTTTGAAAGATCTGATAGATTACATGTTAGAAATACAGTATATATTGTCCATTTCTCTCTAGCCCAGGCACATTTCAGTCTCATTAGTGAATTTAAAGTGAATATACAGTATTATCTACAATAGCAAGTAATAGGAAATGAAATAGAAATGAAAAAAGTCACACAAGTTAATTTTGTTTTAGCACAGCAAAAGGTTTGTCGGCATTCTGACCTACTTCTGACAAATACACTGCCCAGATACCAGCCTCTATTGGTATTAATATGTTTTGTATTAATACAACTAACAGATAACACAAAACGATGAAAGGTGACAAAAAAATCTATTACATAAAAACAAACAAACAAAAAAAACAAACACCTGAATGTGTGAATGTGTTTCAGACTGATTACATTTTAAATGGACCCAAATCCAGATGTCGGTTTAAATGTCAGTCTGTGGTCACCAGCATGCATTTATACACAACATGCTCAGACTGATCTGCCGTCAGATAATAGACATGATGCTGGAAGTTTGATGTTTGTGTAAAAATGCAGATGAACAGCACTGTTGTTTTGTTTACTTTATGAAATTGTTTTGTACATTTGTGTAAAAATATTTTCACCATATCCTGAACTTTTTTGAAGTTTATGACTCTTATTTGTTTGAAGAGAGATTTATGTGAAATGGGAATGCTTCTGGAGATGAGATTTAAAGGAGACTTTTGTCCTGGAACAATGGACCATCCCACTATTTATGGTTTGTGTGTATGTGCATGTGCGGGAGTGTGTCTGTGTGTGTGTGTGAGATCAGGATGGACCTTTGACGTGGTTTCTTTCACTTCCCATTTGGGATCAATGTGTTTGCCTTCACTAACATGCCAACTGAAATATGCATCAGCCTACTTTTAATGAGACCTGTTTGAATGCCATAACTGCCTGTACGGTAAAATGTACAATCTGCTGGTGAGATGGTTATATAGCATTTCTTTTGTTTACTGAAATGTTTTACAAAAGATAGATACTGTCTGTTTAAAATAAAAAATGGCCTTTGTTACGTTGAATGTTAGAAAGACGGATATTTTGAAATAAAACACGAGTCTTGTTTTTAAAAAGATACAGTTGTTTATGATGTTTTTACTCATGTCTTTAACAAATCACATGCATCTATTTGCAGCTGCACTTTGGGATATTTCACCATGGATGGGGACTCCCAACCCTCTGCTGCTTTTTATGAATGTTTTTTATATATTTCTTGTCACTTCCCATTGATAGCTTGGTCCCCAAAGTTTACAAAGATGCCACATGTCAGGCAACCAACAGTCCAATGATTCTGGTATGTATGTCTTAAATTAATGTTCCCAAAGTCAGAACTGAACTGGGAAAAAAATCTTTTAGGTACTCTGCACCTACAACATGAAATGATCTGCGGAATGATGGTGAGCTTCAAAACTGACCTTGAATGACTTTATAGCTATGATGAAATCTGTTGCGTCCAGGCTGTTTGTGTGGGAACAGTTTAATCATTTAATGTTACTATAGTCAGTGTGCTTTTATGTAAATTTTATTTGTTGTTGATGAAACTGTGTTGCTGCTACTCTTTGCCAGGTTGCCCTTGCAAAAGAGATCTCTGATCTCAATGGGACATACCTAGTTTAAAAAGACTAAGGGTCTGTTCATTACTCATGAGAGGGAGGGGATGGTGTAAAAAAGGGGAGGCATGTCAAATCATATTTTAAGCACTGGGGAGAGACCTATGTTTTTTTATTTGGCTTAGGGGAGGGGCATAGGAACATAAATGGCTGTATTGTGTGCTTATCTTACCACAGATTTAAAAAAAAAACAAACTTGGAAGGTATGTTTTCTCTAAAAATCACCAAAAGTACACCATTTAACAAAGCCAGAAGCTGTGAAAAGAGAAATTATGGATAAAAAACGGGACAGTGTGGAGGATTTTTCCAACCTTAAAGTTACTTAAGCTGAAATTAAAGGGTGAAACTGGGTATTAAATGTTTAGTGACAATGCAGCACAGACTATATTTAATGACATACAGCTACATCCACTGTACAATGTGTACACCCACTGCCACTGTGTGGCATATAATTGCAGTTAAGTATTACTTTTTTAATAAAGTATTATTAAAAGTAGTTTTGAATGGAAATGTAATATTAAACAACAAAGGGGGGGGGGGGGGGGGGGGGGAAATAAAAAAAGGCAGCTATTGACCATATATTTTTCTCAAACCAATCATCATAAAATAAAGATTTATTCTTGTAATCATAGTTATCATTTGGTTATCATACTATGAAATTATAAAAACAGAAATTATCGTTGGATTTTCACATTTCTGATGGTCATTAAACAAATTATGTGGGAAACAATAAAAAATCGGAGCTTAAATTAGTGATATTTCATCAAAATCACTTTTTCCTACATGTCTCATTTAATTTTTTGCCAAAGATTTAACGGTTTGCACTAAATAACCAGCATTCACAACAAGAATGAACACCCAAGGGTTTTTTTCTTTTACTTTAAACTTTAAACATCAAAGGGTAAGTTTTAAAAATGTTATAAGTAATTTATTGTGGAGGGAGGGTCATGCTTTTCCCCAAGTCACGGATGCTCAAGGAAAAATATTTGTAGGTTTGGGGAGGGTAAAAAAAGGTCACACCCCAGCCAGCATCCTCCTCTGACAAGTAAAGAACAGTCCCTTAAATTAGTGAAGTCTAACCTTAGAGCTCTTTAAGTATGTCAGAGTGTCGAGTTTGAACCGCCAGGCTTTGAATAAACGTCTTCTTTTTTTTAAATTACACTGTATTTTCATTAAGGTTTTGCCTTAACTCAGCCTGGTTGTGTTAATGTGGTATTCTGTGATTGAAATTTGAATGGACACTGTTTACGACACCTCTGTCGCAGTTACGGCAGGACAGGGAGGGGAGCCGTAAAGCGTTGTGTTTTGGACTGGAGGAGGTCATTAGAAAGTGAGGAGTAAGTACGGGCCGGTTCTCGAGGCACAGAGACACCCGGTACCAGCATATATCTGATGCCGGTGTAAGACAAATACATTATTCAATATCCCTGTGTAGTATTTCAACCGCTGCGACATGCTTCGTCTGATCCTGCGGCTCAGGCCGTCCTCCGGGCTCCGCTGTCCCCGTGCCCTCCCGACGGGGCCTGCTACGCTCAGCTCCCGCTCCGTGCCCGGAACCGGTTCTCTGAGGCGGCTTCACAGCGTAGCAGGGTCCCGGGTTGTGTGTGTGGGGTCCGGCTTCAGCCACAGGGGAAGTCTGCTGCGGTGTCCCCAGCTGACAGGCAGCTGTCAGAGCACACGGTACTACAGTCTGCCGCCGCACCAGAAGGTAACGTTACCTGACCGGGTGTCGGGTTGCTATAGCACCAACGGTTACAGCTAGCATGACCTCCCTGTTAGCATCAGGTAGCTCTGTGATGTCCAGGCTAAGTGTCACTATGTAAAGGTTAAATACAAGTTTACACTGAAGTCAATACTGTAAACCAGACTCATTAATACTGTATTAATACTGTGATTCATTACAGTCACTGTGATGTAAAGCACAGAGAATTATTGAAGTATATAAGAAGTGTGTAAAATATTAAAAATATAAAATCTGGATGACGTGCTGAGTTATTAAAGTGTGTAAAAATATAAAAAATACGTGCCTAATGTTACATTAAAATCTAGTGTGTAAAGTTTAGAAATATAACAAATATTTGAATAATGTAGGGTTGCAGTGATATACCCATTTTAAGGTACACTGTGATATAAAATGGGAGGTCTTTTACACATACTTCCATTAACAAAACGTAAACGTAAATCTATAAATTCTGTAATACCGTGATACTATGAAATCACAATATTTTCTGAGATGGTTATTGGACTGTGAAAATCTCATATCCTTGCAACCCTAGTGTAATGCTATGATGTACAGCACAATATATGCATTAGTAGAAATAAGATGAAGAAATAATGATATGTGCATACAGTGCCCTCCAAAAGTATTGGAACAGTGAGGCCAATTCCTTTATTTTTGTTGTAGACTGAAAATATTTGGGTTTGACATCAAAAGATGAATATGGGACAAGAGATCAACATTTCAGCTTTTATTTCCAGGTATTTACATCTGGATCTGATACACAACTTAGAAGATAGCACCTTTTGTTTGAACACACCCATTTTTCATGAGAGCAAAAGTATTGGAACATGTGACTGACAGGTGTGTTTTGTTGCACAGGTGTCTCCCAATTACATTGATTATTCAAACAATAAATAGCACTGAATGTCTGAGCTCAGTTTCAGATTGGGTACGATAGGTTTTGCCTGTGCAGACTGCATTTAGAGGTGGAACCAACATGAAAACCAGAGAGCTGTCTATGGGTGAAAAAGAAGCAATTGTGAATCTGAGAGAAGATGGACAATCAATCAGAGCCATTGCACAAACATTGGCCATAGCCAGTACAACCATTTGGAATGTCCTGAAGAAGAAAGAAACCACTGGTGTACTAAGCAACAGACGTCGAACAGGTAGACCAAGGAAAACATCAGCAGTTGATGACAGAAACATTGTGAGAGCTGTAAAGAAAGACCCTAAAACAACTGTTAGTGAAAAAAGTCTGGGAAAAAGTTTTATGGACTGATGAGACAAAGATTAACTTTTTCCAAAGTGATGGAAAGGCGAAAGTTTGGAGAAAGAAAGGATCTGCTCATGATCCCAAACATACAAGCTCATCTGTGAAACACAGTGGAGGTAATGTCATGGCTTGGGCTTGCATGGCTTCTTCTGGGACGGGCTCTTTCATCTTCATTGATGATGTAACACATGATGGCAGCAGCAAAATGAACTCAGAAGTCTACAGAAACATTTTGTCTGCTAATTTAAAGAAAGATGCAACCAAACTGATTGGGAGATACTTCATCATGCAGCAAGATAACGACCCAAAACACACTGCCAAAACAACAAAGGAGTTCATCAGGGGCAAGAAGTGGAAGGTTTTAGACTGGCCAAGTCAGTCTCCAGACTTAAACCCAATAGAGCATGCATTTTACCTGCTGAAGAGGAGACTGAAGGGAGTAACCCCCCAAAACAAACAACACCTGAAAGAGGCTGCGGTGAAAGCCTGGAAAAGCATCACAAAAGAAGAATGCAAAAGTTTGGTGATGTCAATGGGTCACAGGCTTGATGCAGTTATTGAAAGCAAAGGATTTGCAACTAAATATTAAGTCTCATTCACTTTAATCTATTTTAAGTTTATATGTTCCAATACTTTTGCTCACCTAAAAATTTTGTGTTCCATTACAAATAATGCTATCTTCTAAGTTGTGTATCAGATCCAGATGTAAATACCTGGAAATAAAAGCTGAAATGTTGATCTCTTGTCTCATATTCATCTTTTGATGTCAAACCCAAATGTTTTCAGTCTACAACAAAAGTAAACGAATTGGACTCACTGTTCCAATACTTTTGGAGGGCACTGTATGTTCATATACATCCAGGAGCAGCGTTAGTAAGGATACACAAGGATACTGTAGAATATTGAGTATCGCTGCAGTTGAATTATCGCACCAATTATTGTACATTTAAACACAGTGTTATCTTAGCTACACCAAATGTGAATTTATGTCATTAGGTGACACCGTTGAAAGTAAGTACATTGGGACTTCGTCATAACATCTGGCCTTAAATCAATTTTATATAAATTAAACAAGGGCTGGGCAACGTATTGTACTGATATCATGATATGGTGTATGATATTGTAAGTGTTGTCTTTTCTTATTTTTTTAAAGGCTGCATTCTAGTAATCAATGCATTTTTCTTAACTTACCAGACTGTTGTAGCTGGTCTGTTATTTCCCTTTGCTCATTTCTCATTATATCCACATTACTCATAATGAACAAGATCAACTCCTGGTCTCTGCATGGAGATCCCTGCTCTGTTGGGAGAGTACTGATCTGTCATCAAAAGGATTTACTTGGATAAATTCGTTCAGTTGAACCATAATGAAACACTACTTAAACCCAGATCAGTGACAAACATTGTCTCTTTATTTCTCTTTATAAAATCCCATTGTGTAAATATTTTGTGAATGCAACAATAGTTAACCTAACAATATCATTTCAATACTGATATTGAGGTATTTGGTCAAAAATAATGTGATATTTGATTTTCTCCATATCGCCCAGCCCTACATTAAACCCATTCTGTTATGAGTTACCTCATATCCCAGTAAAATCCCCATGGGTGCTGCCATATTTAATACATTATTATATATCAGTATTATTCAATGTCTGTGGTGCAGCATTGTGGAGTCCCACCGGGGGTCACAGTCCAAATAGAAAGGTCTATTTCAAAAAGAAAACAAAATTTGAATTTCAGCCTGTACCAGCAACATCAAAACATGCTCAAACTAAACTGTGAAATGATGCTGTAACTCTGATGTTCATGATGTAGAAATTTTAGGACTCTACATGGTTAAAAACTCGCTGATTTTTAACCCCATACTTCATATGTAGGTCATGCTGCAGATGTTATTTCCACGAGAGACTTGTGGAGCTCTGTGGGTCATTTTCACACTGCATATGAATTTCAAACAGGTTTTTTGAGTCTTTAGTGTGGTCATTTGGAGAAAGCGACAAATTTAAGTATTCCTAAAAAGTGGTTACTGTGTTGATGTACCCTATTGTCCTATTATGCAATGCACAAATTAGTTGGACAGATGAAACAAGCCCATGTTTGTCTCTTTACTGGTGGCACTTGTGTTTATCTAATATGAGATGTCACTGGACCTTGGAAGCTACTATAAAACATCACAGATGTGGTGAAATGCAGCTGTATGTGGGTCATTTATTGAGCAAGATGATGATGTAGCAACCTTGGTTACAACACTTGACAGTCGCCAGTATTTGCAGTGCCCAATCACAAAGCCCCAGCGTAGAGTAAAATGGAAATTGTCATTCTTGATTAATATTTCTTTGATATTTGATATTTTAATTCTTAAAATTCCAGGACTTTGTTTTGTCTTCATCAGGTGGAGCTTCCTGCACTGTCACCCACCATGCAGACTGGAACGATCGCTCGCTGGGAGAAGAAGGAGGGAGACAAAATCAGTGAGGGTGATCTTATAGCCGAGGTAAGAAGCCGTGTGTCTGTTCCCGATATTATTGCAGGAAATCATCGCTATCCACTTTCTTTAACAGCTTTTTCTGTCTTAATAGGTGGAGACTGACAAGGCCACTGTAGGGTTTGAGATGCTGGAGGAGTGCTATCTGGCAAAGATCCTGGTTCCTGAAGGCACCAAAGATGTCACCGTCGGAGCAATAATCTGCATCACAGTGGACAAGTAAGGTTTTGTTCGTTGACATTGTGAAACACAGGCTGAAAAAAGTAAATATTAAAAGACTGAAACAGGCGTCTGATTCAAATCGGTCTGCAATGGTGCGCTACTGCATTTGAAGGCATTGATTGCAACTGTCACTTCATTAATCCTCAGGTGCTGGAAACCTGTTTCTACACTTTGTTGCTTTCACAGCGATGATACAAGCTGGATAGAAAATCACACACTCAAATTATTTTAATTACGTTAGCTTAAACATAACAGTCGGCACTCTTGGATCATGTGTAACTCCTACATGTGTTGGTTTCACATTAAGAGAGCTGTAGTTTGGAGAGTTGGCAGCTGGTAACTGAAATTTTAACACCTTTTTTCCTCACTTTTTCAGCGTTTGTTTTAGTTTCAAAATAGTTTCAACATGTCACACAATTTCTGGTCCTTTAGTCTAAATGTGTTCATGCTTTGTGTAATTATATGTCTAATATGTACGTTTATATTTTCCCTTATCAGCCCTGACCTCATCTCAGCTTTTAAGGACGTCACACTGGACTCAATTCAAGCAGCTGGTCCTTCACCAGGTGCCTCCGCTCCTCCTCCTCCTCCTCCTGCCGCTGCTGCTCCTCCTCCTCCTCCTGCAGCCCCGGGCAGCTCATACCCCACACACATGAAGGTAGGCATGTTCTTGCATAAACAAAGCACAGTCAGATTTTGAGTAGTGTAGAGGATGTTTACAGTCACAGTGTCCTGTAGCTACAGATATAGTTTTATCAGGGTTGTTTAGTCTGACGGTCTGGTTTCTCAGTGGTTAATCTTAAAATGTAAAACCACTGTGTAGAGCAGTGAGGTGAACAGGCTGAAAGCAACACAGGGATGACATGATTTATGCTATCAGAATGAAAGATGTAACAGTCATATAAAAATTCAGCACAGAGTGGCTTTACATTTAATGAGTGAAACCAAAATGTTTGAACATAATTCATGATCCCTTGTGCATTTATTAGTCTTTAGAGGTTTTATATTGAATTGCAAGAGTGTGTTGAAAGTGATTGGTGTGTCGTCCAGTCTTTGAAGCTAACTTTAGATGCTGGTATCAAGCTGTTAGCTGTGTGGAATAGTTCAGAAAGCAGGTTGGACCATCATGCCTGTAGATTTTGTAAGTTTTAAGGAGGCAATCAAATACTGCTGCTCCATGCTTTTTCTCACTGAGGTTATGCTGTCAGGGTTTTTAATATTGATGCATGTAGCACCCAGTAATATAATGATTTTCCCAATAATGTAATAACATCTGAAAATGTAATGAAATTTGCAATTAACTTGATTTAAAATGCAATCAAACCCCATACTGTAATAACCTGACCAGTAATGTTATAAAATGTACTGACTGATGTTGTAACGACGTTGCAAAAGAGCCGTACTGTTAACTTAAGCCAAATCACATATCTTACCCAACCCAAAACACATATTAAAGCCATATAGGTGTAACGACAGGTCACCGGTACTAGACCTCCAGTTAAAAAGAAAACATTTGTGGAAGCTGCTTTACAGTCTGTGATTGATTACAGTGGCATATTGTATATGCATGCAACCTCCATCATTTTACATAGCCTTGATTCAGTATACCATGCATCTCTATGTTTTGATGCTTTGGTGGGTTGGACAACAGCACTGGTATATTTTTGTCTATAAAGCAATTTTGGGCAAACTTCCAGCCTACCTCTGCACCCTTGTGTGTGTCAGCTGTGGTAGTTACCAGCTCCTCTCCTCCAAGTGATTGTTTTTTAATGAACACCGGGTTTTAACAGATGTGGGGAAAAGTGCGTTCTCCTACTCTGCACCTTGGACGTGAAACAATCTTCTAAAAGATCTGAAATTAGAAACACTGATGAATTTAAGTGGAACATAAAGAAATTTTTATGTTTGAATAGTTGTTGTTTTATTGTGGATTTTTGTATTATATGTTGTATTTGATGCAATTTAAATGTGTTTTGATTGGCTGCTACTTCGGCTAGGTCTCTCTTGTAAGAGATTTTTAATCTCAGTGGGACTTCCTGGTTAAATAAAGGTTAAATATAATAAAATAACTAAGTAATAAATCGCAAATGAATACATTTCAACAGTACAACTGCCCACTTCCTGCTTGTTGTTACACTACCAGAACAATTGAGGAGGACTGTTTGAATGTGTTTATTTATGTAATATATATATTAGTTTTTATTAGGTTTATATTTGGATGTGTGAATTCTCCTCTACCTGTGAAGAAATTTTATAGAATCAGGCGAGGCAAATGAGACACTTTATTCAATAAGAATCACTGTTGACTCAGATGAGAAGAACATTTTATGAAGACTGAATGAACTGTTTGTCTTCACGGCTCACCAAAGATTTTGTATACTTGCACACTTTACATTTCAGAGAAAAAAAAAGCATACTTTTTAAACTTTTGGATTTTTTTATCTGAGTTATAAATTGAGTAGCTAATCTTTTCAAGATTAAGGCAGGATGTAATGTCCCTCAGCCACTGGGCAGGAGTGGGCATGGCAACATCCCTCCATCTGATTGGAACTGCCAGTCTGGCCAGCAGAGAGGCCAGACGGGCACGGGTACATCATCCTCTGTGGTGGTGCCAAAGAGGGCGACCAGAGGGATGGGTCGCAAGTCAAAATTGAGGATTGAGGATAAGGTTTGGAAAACATCCTTTCAGTATTTTTCAAGGCTCAGACACGTCCAGTGCATGTGAAGAAGAGAAGCCTCACGACTGGGGTTCACATCTGGGTAAATATGTGAAAGTCTGACTAACATTAGTGGGGTTTGTTACATTTTTGATCAGGTTTAGTGGAAATTTAATTACATTTCAGGTGACCATTACATTTTCAGGAAATTATCACATTACTGCTAGGTACAACGTAAACATGAGCTTCATCCTGAAATTGCAATTATTAAAAATGCTGTCACGACAAAACCCTGTTTGTAGTTGTGCATCAGTCATCTAAACAGCAAAAAAGACCATTAGTGGCTGCTTGCTTGCAAACGTGGAAATATTTGCTCTTGTTTTGTGGTTGCTTCTTTCGGGAAGTCTCTTTTTTTCTGCATTTGACCTGTATATCCGAGGGCTTCCCATGTCATGTCACCTCAAGTCCAGCTGTCCAGGCGTTGCTGAGAATAAAAACATATGTTATCAGTTGAAGTCAGTATTATATTTGGCTTGAAAAGATGATCTTATCATTTAATCAGAGAGACTGATTGTTATCAGAAGCTGGGGAGAGGCTTCAATTTGTCCGAGGCTGCTCTAACAAATGTCCCCTCGAATCAGTGATGTCACAGTTATGTCATTTCTTCTCTTCTGTTATATTACAGATCACACTTCCTGCCCTGTCTCCCACCATGACAATGGGAACAGTGCAGCGCTGGGAGAAGAAGGTTGGAGAGAAGCTGAGTGAAGGAGATCTGCTGGCTGAGATTGAGACTGACAAGGCGACCATTGGTAAACCCAAACTGGCTCCAACACCTCAGTCCTGACATATATGCACAGTGCACTACTGAGTATTACAGTGTTATTTAACATGTCATGCCATATATGATGTGGGAGTCCCATATCGTAAACTATCACAGTTACAACCGTCTTGTATCCTAAATTACAGGCGACAGGAAAAGCTGACCTCACCTCACATGTCCTTCTGATGTGTTTTAGGCTTTGAGGTGCAGGAGGAGGGCTATTTGGCCAAAATCATGGTGCCAGAGGGAACTCGGGACGTTCCCCTGGGAACCCCGCTCTGCATCATCGTAGAGAAAGAAAGTGACATTGCTGCCTTTAAAGATTATGTAGAGACAGGGGTGGCAGAAGTTTCCACTCCACCTCCAGCTCCAACACCAGCAACAGCACCTGTAAGACACATGTGCAACTTTTGCTTTCAAATATGAGTGAACATTGTTCCCAAATACTCACAGAAACATCCTGACTTTGGCCTTAATTCAGATTAGGATCACTTGTACAGGTATGACTGTGATTTGTGACTGATTGTGTTTATGTTCCAGGCTGTAGCTCCAGCTGCTGCTGCACCCAGTCCTGCTCCCGCAGCCGCTGCCCCAGCAGCTCCCAGGAAGGGTCGTGTGTTTGCCAGCCCACTCGCCAAGAAACTTGCTGCAGATAAAGGAATTGACCTGGCACAGGTCAGCGGTAAGTAACTAAAACACAGGTAGTCGTTACAGTCTGTTTTGGTAGAACATCATTTATTTCTAGTGAAATACTAAATACAGTGCCACACAGAGCAACTGTAAAATATAGCCGCAAGCGTTTCCGGGATTCAGGCCAGTATGGACCGTTAGGATTTAAATGCTGTGAAAGATAAAGACCTTTGATCATTTATAACACCTGTATTAAAGATAACTAACAGGTTTTATGGTGATTGGACAGACGCTCATTCATTTACTTCCAAACCTCTGCTGGGCCACACTCCTCATTGGCAACACTGTCTCTCTGCAGTGGTCATTTACAGAAACATTTTGGGCACATGCTTAAACAGCTTAATTAAAAATAACCACTGAGTTTGGTGATTTTTGGGACAAACTGTTGATTGATTTATGACCAGGGCAGTGAAAGTGTTTGAAACTGTTTGAGCCCTGATTGAGTGATTTCAAAATAATTTTACACACATGGTTCAACATTGTTATGAAACATATCCTTTCAGAAAATGTTTTAGATATTCATGTGTAGGGCTGGGCGATATAACGACTATGTACGATTATCAATATATTTTCAAGAAAGATAGAAATTTAGACAACACTGTTTATATCAATATAGGCTCGAGCTGTGTTACATAATGCATACCAGTGTTCATCTCTCCTCTCTCACACTCTCCCCACAGCTCCGCCCCACTCACTCGCTCAAGTTCTCCAGCAACACTCAGAGAGACACAGAGCTGCTGCTCTGTTTAATCTGTCTGTTAATTAGTCTACAGTGCGATATCGGTCTCCCTCGGCCTCTCTGTTGATTCTCTGTGTAAAAATAAGATTAATAGCCTAATAAATAAAAAGATTAAAATAATTTTCCAGCTCTAGATTCATCTGAAAGGGCATGGAGAACAAAGATGCACAAAGATATTTAATTGTTCCAAACTACAATGGATTTAGGCATACTTCATACTTTTACAATCATGTTATAGTTTTGTGTCCTGTGCTGCAAACCTTTAAACCTCTGTAGCTCCAGTGCTACGTGCATGTACAGCCCTGCTATTTATTTTATATCATTTTTCGTTTATATGTTGTGCAGCTGTATATTTTCAAACAAGGAAAAAAAAATCCCTGTCTTTGCATTTTATTTTAATCACAGCCTTTTTTTTTTTTTTATAAAAGTGCTTGTGACGTCTCAAATATGAGATATGAATTTTTGTCCATATTGCCCAGCCCTACTTATGTGTACATAGGTGTGTAAGTCTCACGATGCTTGGCCCAACAGTTGTGGAATTAGGTCTACTGTTTGTTGAGCCACAGCCCTTTTGAAGTTAATTTGTCAATATTTTCAAAATGCAGTAAGATATCAACAAGATTTTGATAACGTTTGATAAGGTTGGTCCAATAATGATGCACAGAAAATTTGCTGCGAATCGGACCAACGGTTTAGGAGGAGATGTCAGAAATGTGTTTTCAAAAAACTCAAAATAGCACAAAATCCAGTCAGACGGGCCTTAATGATTCTTGACGGTCGTTGTAGATCACATTCAGCTAGACGTGTGTGTCCAATTTCAGGTCAATCCAACTTACAGAGTAGGAGTTGACCCTTAATTATAGGATGACAGGTGTCATACTTCTTGGGCAGCATTAACACACAACTTCTAATCATTGGTGAAAATTGTATGCGTCTATGATTCACCATCTCACAGGAATTTACTTTACTGAAGAAGAAAAAAATTGCCACAGAAACAAAAGGGTAATATTTTAATACACACCGAAAATTGTGCTGTTTTCTGTTCAGGCTCTGGTCCTGATGGACGCATCACTAGGAAAGATATCGACAGCTTTGTTCCACCAAAGGCTGCACCTGTAAGTGAAGCTCAGTCTCTTTGGTGTTTAATTGATTAATTATGTTATGAAGCAAAAATGCCAAATGTTCTGTGTTTGTAGCTTCTAAAATGCAAAAAATTGATGCTTTTTTCATTTTTTCTTGTTCTATATTATTGAATTTCTTTTGGTTTTGGACTGCTGAGCTTTTAGATGTGTGAAATCATAAAAAAAAACACTTTCAAATACATCTCAGAAAGGGTTTTTTGTGCTCATATGTCATTAACGTGTTACAGTAAGCTAAAAGGTTTTGGTCCTTGAGTCATTCACACTGGCTCAATAATCACAATTAAAAAATTTAACTGTAGTTTTGAACACTCAGATATTTTCATGTCACACTGTGTGGGCCTTAAGATTTTGTCGTAATTCGTTTTAAATGCAAATTGAATCATTTCCGTTGGCAGGCTGTAGCTGCTGCTCCCACCCCAGCTGCAGCGCCAGCTGCTCCTGCACCTGCCGCAGCTCCTGCTGCTCCAGCCGGGACCTTCACAGACATCCCTATCAGCAACATCCGCAAGGTGAGAGCAAACACACACAGGACTTTTGGTGGTCCATTGTGTCCGAGGAGGGCTTCCTCTCCAGCTCCACACTCCTCTGATAGCAGTTTGGTGTAATTCATGACACGCTCCCTCTATGCAGCGTTTGGTGCTGGTGTATTGAATGCTGCAGATGTCCCGAGGGGCTTTCACAGTGTAGCTCTGTTATCTCTGACCTGTGCTTCCACATTTCGCCCTGAAGACAGGCGCTCGCACATTTATCAACACAGACTCCACTAACACACCTTCATTCCTGTCCATGATGAATTATGGATCAAAGCTAAAGTGCAGATATTCGTCTCTCCTGCAGGTCATCGCTCAGCGGTTGATGCAGTCCAAGCAAACTATCCCCCACTATTATCTGTCTGTAGACGTCAACATGGACCAAGTGCTCGAGCTTCGGAAAGAACTCAATGAAGTGAGTTTGTGCTCGTAAATAGACGTGTGACAGATTGAAAGATTGGACATTTTATTCTTCATAAACTTCGATTAATATTTCTTCTGCTTCTTTAACAACCTCACCTTCACTCTGCAGGAGGTGAAAGCCCAGAATATCAAGCTTAGTGTGAATGACTTCATCATCAAAGCCAGCGCTCTCGCCTGCCTCAAGGTTCCTGAGTGCAACTCCTCCTGGTTGGACACGGTCATTCGCCAGTGAGTAAACACATAAACATGCGTATCAAACACATGTATGATATACAGGAAACAGGGAAAATGTTCTCTTGGTTTGTTGATCTGAGAGTCTTTCGCTACACAAAGTTATCAGCCATCTATCTTCATCTACCAATGGCTTCTAATCTAGTCAACCTGTCCTGGCTGTTAACTTCTTTACATGTTGTCTGACATCAAAACTCTAAATTTACCGTCATATCCATGGTGACATGTAGATGAATGGATGCATTGGTGTACGTGACTTCAGTGTACAGGCATGTTTGAATTGTTCCACACTTCACTTAGTCATTTAAAGACAGAAAAGACCCACAAAGGAGGGGTACAACAGAAAAACAATTCTCTGACCTCTTGTGTTGGATACTGGTCTATGAAAGTGTAGCTGCCATATTGTGCCAATAGGGGGCACTCAAAGCACAGCCATTTTTCCAGCTCCTCTCAGTTGAGACACAAAGTCACGTTGGCACTTCTCTCTTTTTTTTTTTTTTTTTTTTTTTTGCTGTCATCAGTATTGACTTATTTAAATGTTTTCAGGAATCATGTGGTGGACCTGAGTGTAGCAGTGAGCACAGCCAGCGGTCTCATCACGCCCATAGTGTTTAACGCCCACACCAAAGGACTGGCTGCCATCAGCTCCGATGTGTCGGCTCTCGCTGCCAAAGCGAGAGAAGGCAAACTGCAGCCACACGAGTTCCAGGTACAAACACGTAATCCGATTCTGTGGGTGCATGCAGTTTTTCAATTTCAGGAGTTTGGGGTGTGGGATGATTAGTTTTATGCAGATTTCATCTATCTAGTCAACCAGCAAATTGAAACGGTCCTCTTCAATGTGTGTTTTTCTTCCACCAGGGAGGTACATTCACAATCTCTAATTTGGGGATGTTTGGCATCAAGAACTTCTCGGCGATAATCAACCCCCCTCAGGCCTGTATCCTCGCCGTCGGAGGCTCAGAGAAACGGCTGATGCCTGCTGATAATGAGAAAGGGTCAGTGTCGTGACTACAATGCTACAACAAGTCGGACACGTTTCCTTTGTTGACTCTAATGCATTGTGCGTTTGGGTTTTACAGGTTCGACGTAGCCAGCATGATGTCGGTTACGCTGAGCTGCGACCACAGGGTGGTGGACGGGGCGGTCGGCGCGCAGTGGCTCGCAGAGTTCCGCAAGTTCCTGGAGAAACCTGTCACCATGCTGTTGTGATCGGACTTTACTGCCATAAAACTGCAACAACAGGCAGAGGTCTCTCCCTGAAGTGATCTGATTGGTCTAAACCGATCTGGATCCTCCTGTGATTGGCCGGCCTGCCACCAGGTCACTCCCAGTTACCCTGAAGGGGAAGAGGCAGAACTCACTCCGCTTACCTGTTTGTCTCGCTGCCTCTCCCGTCTGTCTTTCTCTCCTCTCGCTCTGTCTCACTCATTCTCTATTTATTGAGGCCCCGTCTCACGAGAGACCAGAATTAGGTATAATTTATCCTAGAGTAGACATCGGTCATTTGTCACTAAAACATTAATAATGTTTTACAAAGGGAAGTGTTACAAGTCCAACCAGCGAGCGTATTTATCCCGAAACCTTGTGTGTGTGTGTGTGTGTCTGTGTGTGTGTGATTCTGCACATTCTAATCTGTGATTTTGTTTGAATAAGATAAAGAGAACAGGACGTGCAGCTATCTCTGGGTTCCAGTCTTCTAAATAACGGGTTAATAGGTAGATGTGAATCAACTTTGAAACACTGAGATCTACACACACAAACCTGTCCCTGTTTTGTCGCCACACACACACGCACAAAATTGAAATATTCAGTGTGTTTTCTCTGGGTTGATGCTCCAGTGTGTACATCCTCCACTGTGGGATGAACACAGTGCTGTATATACTGTATATGGTGGTGAGCTGTTTGGTTTGAAATAACCAAGCTGTAATGACGCCTCACCGTATAGTTTAATATCTGTACAGTCCTGAATGATGATACACACTCTCAAAGCAAGTACTCAACGGGTTTGCCAATCCTCTCTCTTCGGCAAGGATGTTTTATTTTCTAGTGTCAGAGTAAAACACTTACCTTTGGAATTTTCTGTATTTCACTGCTGAAACGCACAAAGCTGGTGCCGGATGTTATTTGTTATCTGAATAAATTGGGAGAAGTCAGTCTTGTGCTGTATGTATTTTGGTCTGGGTTTTTATAATCTGGCTCATTGTAAGAGCCCAAATTGAAGCAGTTAGGAGCAGAAACTACAGAATATACAGTGTGATCACAGGAAACCTTTTGAAAATTTGTAAAAACAAATATTTAAAAAGGAGTCAAATAAACCACTGACCTGTTCCAGACGTTTTGATTCGTGCTGCGTACCAAATGGATTAAGTAAAGCTCTGAGCCTGCAGTCAACCTCCCTGTCCTTGTATTTTCCCAATAACTGGGAGAGCTGTCACCGCTGATTCATGCAGTCCCACACACACAATAACAAATCCACAGTACCTGAAAATAGGCTCAGACTGCCTCCAGATTCATTAACATTTCCGTGTTTGAGAATTGTCACATGGAAGCACTGTCTTAATCTTTTTCATATCGGCAGCATGTAAAATCACCATAGTAACGTGTGCTTACAATTAAAGACAGAAAAGATAAAGATGACAGGAGTCAAAACAACGAGCCTCATTGAGGTGTCATAATTAAAGGTCAGAATTGAAAAGGTCACATGTTGCTGTGCGGCTCTCACCTCACCCTTTCTTCTTGTCTATTTTTCATCCTAAGCTGTTTAATTTTTTTCCATTTTTATTTGTCAAAAATATTTCATTTCCTGGCCTTTCTGCTCTGGCACTCATCTAATTAGGAACTAATTTGGTTGGGTAAATAGCATTAGTGGACCACGGTTGCCAGTAAGCCATGTATAACTCTACGACTGTTAAGTCATTAAGAAACTCCCCAAATCATCAGGATGCTCATTTGTGTAAAATGATTTCCTTGTGTCCCCGTATGAAGCTCATTAAATCTGCTTTATAGGTTCACTGGCTGAAATTTCAGCATGTGCCATTTGGTTGAGACTGGTGGGAGAGCACTAAACTGGAACATATTTGGCCGATCACTGGAGGACTTGGCAGACAGATCGACTTATGTGGGTCATGAATAACTAACACATTTTATGCAAATCCATCAAAAAAAAGCCATGACGGCATTTTGTTTAGCCCATAGGTCATAACTTAGATGATGGCCTTATCACTGGATGACTTGCTGCAAGTGTCAGAAACTAATCTTTGAACATTTCCTCACACCAGTGACAACCTCGAATCTCTAACTGCCTTGAATCCATGAATCACTTCGCAGAAGATAAGTGCAAACAACCTTTTTTTTTCAAGAACGAAAGAGCTGATCTGGGACTCTACAGGGTTCGGTGACCCAGGCTACAAATTTTAGGAAAAAAAAATAGAAGTGATAGATGAAGGCTTGAAGGGTTAGTTTGGGGTCATATGAGGTACTTGTATTAAGTCAGTGTATTACCTTCAGAAGATGACGTCTGCGTGCCCCAAGTTTGGAATAGCAGGCAGGAGCCCCACCAGGGAAGCACAGCATTGCATTGCCATTGATGGGGGTTGATATCAAAATGTTTTTTAGCCATTTTGAAAGAGGCACACCTAAACATCATTAGAAAAAAATCATCAGTCTAAGTGGACGCTCCATTGAGGATTTTCTCACCACTTCACCTCGCCATCAGACAGCCCTTTTCTTTGACACTTCATTTTCTACCCTCAGAGGCAGGGTAGAATGGAGCGTGAGATGGATCGGCGGTTTGGTGTGGCTTCTGCAGTGATGCAGGCGCTCTGCCCATCCATGGTGGTGAAGAGGGAGCTGAGCTGGAAGGCAAAGCTTTCGATTTACTGGTCCATCTACGTCCCAACCCTCAGCTACGGTCATGAGCTCTGGGTAGTGACTGAAAGAATGAGATGGCAGATACAAGCGGCCGAAATCAGTTTCCTCCGTGGCGTGGCTGGGCTCAGCCTTAGAGGTAGGGTAAGGAGCTCGGACATCTGGAGGAAGCTCGGAGTAGAGCTGCTGCTCCTTCGCTTCGAAAGGGGGCAGTTGAGGTGGTTCGGGCTTCTGATCAGGATGCGTCCTGGGCGCCTCCTGCTGCAAGTGTTTCGGGCACGTCCAACTGGTAGGAGGCCCCAAGCAGACCCAGAACACACTGGAGGGATTACATATCTCATCTGGCCTGGGAACGCCTTGGGGTCCCTCAGGAGAAGCTGGAAAGCGTTGCTGGGGAGAGGGACGTCTGGGGTGCTTTGCTCGCCCTGCTGCCCCTGGGACCTGGCCTCGGATAAGAGGATGAAAATGGATGGATGGATGGATGGATGGACTACATTTTCTCATTAGAAACTTCCATATTACTGCGCTGCCGCTACCACGCACTGTATCTGTTTGGGTAAGAAAGTGCTGTTGCAACATCAGATGTAAAAGAAACTTTACTTAATGCCAGTATTTCAAACATGGGTCGTGCTTGTGTTTTTACAGGCTGTTTAAACAAAGAAAGTCCCCACTCACCACAAACATTTCACCGCATTCTGTTGACAGTTGACACTGATCTTCACAGCTATGGCTAGTTGCACTCAATTTGGACATCAATTCTCCTCTCACTGTTATTCCAGTTTAGTTTTGCCTCTACACACAGCTAACAGTAATATGTTGATATGCCTGTGAAACACAGTTTGTCTAACAAACAGTTATTATACAATAACATGTACTGACATCCAAAAAACATACTGTGAAGACAACCTGTCGTCAGGTACTTATGGTCTTTGGAAATTGTCTTTGGAAAATTAAGAAAGGTAAAAAAGACAAAGGCATTCAGTGAGGCAGGGGACTCAGGATGGTTGGTGATGCAGACTGGCATCCTCTGAGTCAGAAGGATCCGAAAGTTGTGTTGCAAGCAAGTCCCACTAATGGCAGCAGCGGCTCTCTGGGTCCATCAGCATCATTTACAGTTCACACATCTGCACCATCAGGTAACTTGTGCTCTTATTGGCCTCCAGCTTCCACAGAAGTTGCTCCTCTCTCTGTCTTTGACTGTTCAATCCCCCTCTGCAAAAGTTTTTCCTCCATATACTGTGGTTCATAAAGGTATCCTCTTGTGTTCACAGTGAATGGCATTTTGTTGCTGCTGTCATAATCACTCATTTTCGTCCATAAACCGCTGACAGCTTGACCCAAACAGCTGAGCTGCAGAGCAGTACAGTGCGTGGCAGTGGCGGCACAGTAATACAGAAGTGTTACAGTTGAGAAAGTGTCGTGCCAAAGAAAAGGGCTGTGTGACGGCAAGGTAAAGCCGTGAAGAACACCCACAATATAGTGTCCCCTTAGACTGATGTTGTTGGTTTTTTTTGTTTTTTTTGGTGAGCCTCTTTTAAGGTGGCTAAAAACATTTTTCAACCCCCATCAACAGCAATATAATACTGTTGTTCCCTGGTGGGACTCCTGCTATTCTAAACTGGGGGCATGCTGACTGTCATGAGCTGAAGGTAATACACTGTCTAGAAATAAGTACATTCATCATATTCCTCATTGGCTAATCAATGACTTTTTTGTACGAAATGATTAGTTGTGTAGTCTATGGAATACCTTTTAAAGAGGATGAGGGCACCAATTGCCCATCACAAGCCTAAGATACTGAATTAACAATAATATAAAATAGATGAAAGCATCAAATCCTTGAGAAGCTGTAATCAGAACATGTTTAGCAATGACAACAAATTACTCAGTTCAATGAATTTTTTATAGATTCATTTTTCTGTCAGTTTTCTGTACTGGTCCATAAATAATTCCCATCTTTGAAGCAAGACAATTTAGCTTTTGTAAAAAGAAATAACACAATTGTCCTCTTAAAAAAAGTTGAATTCATAAGCTTATGCCGGCTAATGTTAACTAACTTTAGATATTGCTATGTAACTGACGTCACTCAGCCTCTCCTCTCTACTGTGCTACTGTTATGCTACATTTTAAAAGTAACCCCAAAATCAAATTAAAAAATCATATTTTGCCTGTTACCTGTAGTGCTATTTATCAGTCTAGATTGTTTTGGTGTGAGTTGCAGAGTGTTGAAGATATCGGCCGTAGAGACGTCTGCCTTCTCTTTAACATAATTGAACTAGATGGCACTCGGCTTGCGGTGCTCAAAGCGCCAAAAAAATACATTTGAAAAACTCAACAGCAATGTCTCTTACCGGATATCATGACCTGGTTACTCAAAATAATCCACAGACCTTGTTGTGAGCAGTTTCATGTAGGAACTATTTTCTTTCTACCAAACTACACCTGCCAACTGTATCACTGTGCAGAAGGAAGCGTGCATCTACTCATGGATGAGAAGCTGGTGCTCGTGACAATTCGAGACGTCCTCTAATGAGCTGTAATGTTAGCTAGCTCAGTGTTGCTAGGTGAGCAAGGTATCCTCATACAACAGTTTGTATGATATTGGTATGAATGAATTAGCGCCCTGCGAATGACGTCACATCCTTAATGTAGAGTTATGTAATTAACATAAAGTTAGATTTAGGCAAGTAGAGTTACTGTGGGTAGGGTTAGGGAAAAGAGACATGGTGAAGATGTACCTTAAAATGACTCAAAGTTCATAAAGTTCCAAACATCCATCTCTGAGGGAAAGTCCTGTGATTTGTGATCCATCCACCACTCCAACCTGCCTCCTTACAGAACGCTCGGGACCACTTCCTCATTTACCCCCATCAGCACATTGTGGGTTATGCATGAACTACTGGCTCGTAATTACATGAGATATGTACAAATTTGGGTGTATTGCTTTTTGTAGGAAAACGTACAAACAATTTATGAAAACAGCCTGCACAGTGATACATTGGCAGGTGTAGTTTGGTAGAAAGAAAATAGTTCCTACATGAAACTGCTCACAACAAGGTCTGTGAATTATTTTGAGTAACCGGGTCATGATTTCTGAAAAGAGACATTGCTGTTTTTCAAAGTTTTTTTTTTTTTGGCGCTTTGAGCACCACAAGCCGAGTGCCATCTAGTTCCATTATATTGGCGAGAAGGCAGGCATGTCTATGGCTGATATCTCCATCACTTGACAACTCACACCAAAACAATCTTGACTCATAAACAGCACTACAGTTACGAGAAAAAATGTATGTATTTGATTTGGGG